AAGATAACATTTTTAAAAGTGCTTTGAAATTGAGGTATTTTTCCTTTAAATATTAGGCTGCCATCTTTTGTACCCGCTTTACGCTCTGGGAGGAATTAATTTCAATGCCTGAGTTAGCTTAATGATACGGTCTGGCTCTTTCAGGGTGATCAGTTTTGGACATCTTTCTTACATCTTGCATTCTTCTAAAGAGGGTGTCTCCTTCTGGAAAATTACTATCCCTGTGAGCCATGGTTACTGCCAGGCATGTGTTATATCCTTTAGCTATTAAGACTATCGAGAAATGTTACTGCAAAACACAGAGATTCTCAGACCTTTCGGAGTTAAAAGTCTCTGTTCAGCAGGTCCTACTACCTCTTGCTCTATAGAAAAATTTTCAAACAGTTCAAAAAAGCTGCTATGGGTACTGAGAGTGGCATTTGTTTGTGGAGCATGTATTTACTTCTTTTTGGATGTTGGATCTTCATTTTGCCGGGGAATCACATTGTGGGCATTTTCCCTTTCTCTTCCTCATTGCTACATTATTATTTTTTTTAATTTACATTTTTTTTAATTTACATTTTTTTTAATTTACATTTTTCCTTTGGGACCTTAATGCAGTGATTGTCTGAAATGTTGACAAATCAATCTGTCAGTGTTCTTGCTTCTACCAACCCAAGGACAGAGTACCCCTGCTGCTCTGTAACCTAGCAGAAGATGGGTCTTCTTCTTCTTCTTCTTCTTCTTCTTCTTCTTCTTCTTCTTCTTCTTCTTCTTCTTCTTCTTTCTTCTTTCTTCTTTCTTCTTCTTCTTTCTTCTTCTTCTTCTTCTTATTCCTTTTTTTTTTTTTGACTGGCTTCAAGATCCCCAAACCCAGAAGGAAGAATCACATGTTTCCAAGCAAATCAACCTGATCTCTACTGGGCTCCGGGTTTCTTCTGCCAGGAGTGCGTCGGCATTTTTGGAAAGACTTCAGAAAATGAATGTATTGTTTACAATGATAACTCTCTTCTTTTCTTATTTTACCTGCTGGTCTTGTAAGAGGTATTTGTGCAAGAATTTTTTTTAATTTTTAATTTTTTTGGCTTTTCAGGTTATACCCAGCAATGCTCAGGTGTTACTCCTGGAACTGCACTCAGGAATCACTCCTGGCGGTGCTCCAGGAACAATATGAGATGTTGGGGATCAAACCTGGGTTAGCTGCATGCAAGGCAAAAGTCCTACCCTCTGTACTATGACTCTGGTGCCCTCCCTTTTCTTTTCTTTTTTTGGGTCATACCTGGTGCTGCTCAAGGATTAATCCTGCCTCTGCACTCAGGAATTACTCTTATTGGATGCAGGGGATCAAACCCGAGTCTCCTACATGCAAGGCAAACACCCTACCCACTGTACTATCACTCTGGCTTCTCGTGTAAGAATTATTTTTTTTAATTGAATCACCATGAGATAGAGCTGCAAAACTTTCATATTTGAGTTTCAATCATACAATGATCAAACACCCATCCTTCCACCAGTGTACATTTCCCACTACCAATGTCCCCAGTATCCCTCCCGCCCATCCCATCCCTCCCCCTGCCTCCATGGCAAACAATTTCCCTCTCACTTTCTTTCTACTTATGGGCATTATGGTTTGCAATACAGATGGTGAGAGGCCATCATGTTTGGTCCTTTATCTACTTTCAGTAGTGCAAGAATTCTTAGGAGACCTACCTTCTAGCCTCTTCTAGAGATAAGAAGTATAAGATAAAAATTATATTATGTGGAGAGAGATGTAGTGTGGTGGTGACTATGGAAGCCACACTGCCTAGAGTATGGCTACAGTATGGTTAAAGGACAGCCTCTAACACGTAGTCAGACACATATTTATGTAAGTGTTCTGTGCCTCAGGTTGCTCATCTATGAAATGGGCATAGTGAGAGTATCTATTAGGCTATAAAAGGTAAAAAGGTAAAGGCCCTCCCGTTGATCGTCGATTTGCTCGAGCGGGCCCAGTAGCGTCTCCATTGGAGACTTTGTTGTTACTGTGTCTGGCATATCGAATACTCTCGGTAGCTTGCCAGGCTCTCCGAGAGGGGCGAAGGAATCGAACTCGGGTCGGCCATGTTGGCCGCTTGTAAGGCGAACGCCCTACCCGCTGTGCTATCGCTCCTATTAGGCTATGCATATTCAATTTCATAACACATACAAACAAGACTGAAATAGAAATAGCTCTGTAGTGCATATATAACCTGGTTCTACAGTCATGAGAGCTACTTTTCATAGCATTAGAATAAGGATATAGGAGTCAATTTTATCATTATAGTCAACTGGCTAAATTATTTTCTTTTCTTGTTTTGGTTTTATTTTTATTTTTTGTGCCACAGGGCATACTCCTGGCTCCGAGCTCAAGGATCACTCCTGGTAGTGTTCAGGGGACCATATGGGGTGCCAGGGATCAAACCTAGTTCAGCCGTGTGCAAGGCAAATGTCCTACCTACTATTCACTTAGCCCCTGGATAAATTCTTGAAACAGTTCCCTGGATGATCATTTACTCCTAAGTATAATTTGCTTTGTTTGTTTTTATTTGGGGGGAGGGGTAAAGGGGACACACCTGGCTGCATTCAGGTCTTAGTCCTGGGTCTGCATTCAAGGATCACTTCTACCAGGATTTGGGGAACCATACGGGATGCCAGGGATTGAACCCAGGTAGGCCACATATAAGGCAAGCACCCTCACACTGTACTATTTCTCCAGTTTCAAATTTGCTTATTTTTTTAAATTAAAAAATTTTAAATTGAATCACTATGAGATAGTTACAAAGGTTTCATGACTAAGTTTCAGTCATACGAACACCCATCCCTCCACTAGTACATATTTTCCACTACCAATGTCCCCAGTATCCCTCCTGCCGTCCCCACCCCCCTCCAACCCCCTGCCTCTGTGGCAAGCACCTTCTTTCTTATTCGCTCCCTACTTTGGGCATCATGGTTTGCAAAAATTTGTTTATATTTTTTAAGATAGCATGTTATTCTCTCTCTGTCTCCCTCTCTCACTCACTTAATAGAACATCTAATAAGTTGCCTCTCCTAAAGTAAGTTGTAACCAGAGTCTTTATACATATTAGTTAGAGTTAGCAACCTTCTATTATAATTTTGCAGGATACAGGGGATAGATAGTTCAGTAGCAAAAGCAGCTGCCTTGCAATCATAATACCATGAGTTTGATTCCCAACACTACCTGCATGTGCTGAGGACACTCCTAGCACCCCTATATTCTGGAGCCCCTGGGACCCTGACAGAGCACTGTAATCTCCATGGAACAGACAGATGTGTGTGTGTGAATACCTCAACTGTCTCCTTCACCCCGCCTCCCCAGGATGCAAAGCAACCGAAAAGGATTTGTGAGCACTGAAGTCAGGAATTCAGCCCCAATGTGTATGCATGTGTGAGCACCACAGCGACTCCCAGTGAGTACTACAAACAGAAGTACTCACTGTGGGCAAGTACCACAACTTGAGGGGTTGGATCCCAGGAAGTATGTGTGTGAGCACCATCACCATGCATGTATAAGCCCCAGTTATCTGTTAACAGCCGTGAAAGGGAAGAAGAAAGGGTTTTCTTTCCAAGAAAAAAAAACAACCCTAAAGACCCTCTATTGTTTTAGATAATTACTAACATGACATTCCGAAAGTATTAAGTAAATACTGTAAATCAACTCACAGTATTAAAAATAAATCTGCAAAGTTCTTTTTTTAGGACTGATAGGGAAACTTCTGGCCTGTTTCCGCAAACTGTAAAAAACGGCTGTGCCTAGAAGCCCACAAGATACCTATTAATAATAATCTTGAAATAAACTCAGAATCATATCAAGTTCCCCAAATTCCAAGCATCCAGGAAAAATGTTCAGTGGTGGGTAGGGAAAGCAATGGGAAATCTCAAATATATGATTTTTAACTGATTGATTATCCAACTGATGACAGAGTTTGACAAGAGAAAGATTTTTTTTTTATGAGAAAGGAAATTAACAGAATCATCTAACCTGGCAGGAAAATAAAAATATTTTCCCACAGTTTCCCATAGTTTACAAAACTAAACCACCAAACTTTTATATAAAAAGGGCAGTGTCCCTTCCTGAGGGAGTGCATTTTTTCAAGCCTTCCAGTTAGCATGGTCTAGCTAGGCCATCCTTTTCGAATGACAACTTCTCAAATGATAACCTAGAGTTATCTAGACTTGTCAGAGCAAAAATCTTTATTACAAAGTTATTTTCACTTGTAATTAAAAAATGTTCGAAGGGAATGGAAAATAAGCCTTCTTCACAAAACCTAAGCATCTAAGCATGCCCATTTGAAATTCTGGCAGGGTGAAGCATTCCTGCACATCTCATCCCAGCAGCGTTCACGGGAACTCATCAGTGCAAATACCTGTGGCAGGATACAAACAACTTTGGAGGAGGCACCAAGTCTGTAACTCATGGGCCAGGACGTCTGGTGGGGTTAGAAGAATCTCTTGCAGTTGGACTTACATCATGGAGCACTTATATGTGCTTCAGCGTCTGAAATCAGCCAGTCACTCTGTTGGACACCTCACTGTTTCCATGGCATATTGAGGAGTTATGAAATCAGGAACAAATCCAACTCCTTAACAATGCTAAGGATTAAAAAAAGCTTTGTGTTCCAATGTAAGCTAACCCACAGCTAGGCTCCTACTGAGTTTCTAAAGACAAGAGGGGGTCAAACTTAAGCACCTATAGAATCTCTGTGGAGTCTATTGATAATGCACCATCCATAAAAATCATTACATTTAGAAAGTGAGATCTTCTAAGGATCCATCGTTTAAAGCAGTCATTTGCTTCTCAGGCACATTTCAAGTAATCTTACTGTGAAAAACACGTAGGCCATAAGGAAACATACAAAACATTTTAGTACATTTTTAAAAACTCCACAAATACACAGTGAACAAAAACAATATGGGATGCTGTATCTCCCTTTGGCTGTCAGAGGAAAACCAAGGTTGAACTTCTGTCAGCCCGTTAGACTTACGTCATATCCGCTATTACGAATTCCACGCCGGGGTCGCTCCCGAGTAACCAGAAGGTCCATCTCTGTTTCTCCTGGACTTGGGCTGTTCAGAGACTGCCGGCTTCGGTAGACAGAGTTTTTCATCTGTTGCCTGAAGAAAATTCAACTACTGTTATGATGCAGCAAATGCCCTGACAGATGGAATTCTCCACTCATCCAAACAACAGGGAACCAATGGAGGGTTTGGATTTGCCTTGCAACTCTCAGAATTGATGGTATTTGTCACTCAGCTGTTAGGGGATCAGAGAAAGGTGGAATAAAAAATATTTTCCCCAGATACTATAACCATTTGGTTGGACTATAAATGTTCTTCATATAGAAACTAGGTAAAAACAATCAATTACAGCACTGCAACCTCATCTAAAATTCTGCTGATGACAGGGCCAGGGGCTCCCTTGACCCTGTAGGACAAGAAGAGAAGAGTCTTGCTTTTGTTGACTGTTGATTCAGCAATCTCCTGCTCCTCTGAATATTTCTGATTTCTCATAGAGGCTTCCATGATTCCTTAGTAAACCCTATGGTTTAATGGGATGCACAAAAGTGCATGTATCAATAGGTGTTCTTTTCACCTTCCTAAGAGTGGGTTCCCTTCTGAGGTATGAAACCATAAACCGAGAGGCAAACTGGGCTTTTTTACCCTTCGCCTGTCCATCCATCTTTCATCTATCATCCATCCATCTCTTATCTATCCCTCCAATATTTACTGAGTGGCTACAAGGTACCAGGCACTGTGGAGGATGATGAGTCCCCACAGTGAGCCAGACAGATATGGCCTTGCTCTCTGAGAGAAAGAGACAATTAATGTGACAATTTCAGAGAGTGCTAAGTGCTTTTAAAGAAAAACCAGGTATGACCAGTGTAACTGGGATGGGAGAGACTTCAGATAGAATGATCTGGGAAGAAGTATGAAGAGAGAGGTGTGCCCTTCATCTGAGACCTAAATAAGTCACACCCATGTAATCAGGGACTGACAACCTCAGAGGCTCCACTCTTTGACCCTGGGAAATGCAGACAATTGTCATCTTGTCTTGTTCCACTTATCATAAGGGGAGTGTTTTTTGAGGAGGAGGAAGGAAACAGCAAGAGAGTGAGGACTATTGCTTTGCTTTTCTTCTTCCTCAACAGACCCAGTGGGGACAGGTGACTCTCATATGACTCTGCAGAATGATGCAGGCGGGATAAAAGCCATGGCTATTTCCCTTCCATTCAACAATAAATACTCTCTGTGACTAATGTGTATTTTATGGGCCCAGCACGTTTCTGCTGTGCAACTCTGCTAAGCGTAACTTGTATTTTAGATTTGCACAGAGAACCACCTCTTGCTTCCACTGTAAGATCTTAACCCACTCAAGAGTTAGAGGTAAAGAGGCTGCACTCTCTATTCCCAGCACCGAGAAGAAAACCAAAAACCTGGCAGGCACACACACCTCTTCACGATCACAAACCCAGTTATGACAGTCACAGACTGTTAGTCTAGAATAGACACTGTAACTCCTGGGCAAAACATGCCCCCTGCAATTTGCCTCACAGACACTATTAGACCTTCTCCCTCACTATGAGGTGTTTATACATTTGAAGATTAACTGTAGTCTTTGTTCACTTGGTGTTCTTGACACTCATATTTCTGTGAGAGCACTGTGATGCTTTGGGGAAGCACCCTTCTTCCAGGGGAAGGCATGAGGCTCAGGTTGGACGATGGTGGCATCGCATCCCCACAGTGAATGTTCAGAGCGGGGCACCTGTGTTCTCCCTATGAGGCTGAAAACCTGTGCTTCTGGCAGAGCAACCTGGGAGAAGCCTTCTCTTTGGTATGGAGGTTTCTAAACCTGAAGTTTCTGCCAGCCAGTTTGCCACTGTGAACCAATCTGAAAATGAGTCAGAAGAGTAAGGAGAGGGCAAGATAAGTGTGGGGGACATTGTGGGGTTGCTTCAATCTAACCGTGCCTGAAATCTGACCTTCCACAACGTTCAGTGATAAATGTCTTGTATTTAACTGGTTTGTGCTACAGTTCTATCATTCGCAATCGACTAAGAGGTGCTTAAACTTCATATTTCAACCCCTGTGCTGTAGTTCTCTGCAACTGGAGTTTCCTGTAGCAATGGAATAAAACTCTGTGAGACAGAATCTGTTCTGATGGACTCACACTTGAGGGAAGAACCGAAAGAACTCTTTTCCTTGACCTAATTTCAAGACACTTTTGGAAAAAAAAGCAGACTTCACAACTGTCCTGAGATTGCCAATTAGCCCATTTAGAAACGATTTGCTAATAAGGGTGGTGGAGAAGTAAACACTAGGATTAGAAACTTTTAAATTAGTTATTTTGGAAGTATTAAAAGTACAACAATGACACAACTGTTTCTGCCCTTTCAAGAACATCAATGAGTGCATAGATACTGGAGTAATAAGTAATCTCTATGTCCATCAAAGACCAATTTCAATGATGATACACAGCTTAAAGTAAGTCTTCAGTAACAAAGATCTCAATTGACCAAACCACCCATATCTGTGGTATGAGTCCCTATTTAGAAATAAATTGGACCCTGGTTGATAAATTATAATCAGGGGCTAATGACAGGGTTATTTTCTGAGAAATTTGTGTGAGCTTATTTCATCAAAGTGTGTGTGTCATAAATGTAATGACAACATCCTAGATGGTATAGACTAGTGTTTCTCAACCAGGAGCCACATGTCCTGTGGGTTCTAGGGTAGTCCAAGAGGCCAAGGGTAAAAATTGTGTAAATGGAGACCAAGACTTGGGGGCTAACCAGTAGGACAGGAAGCCACAGGAAGGAAAAAAGATCAGAAACGGACCATGGTTGGAAAAAGGCTGAGAAATGCTGGTAAGGACTTACACACACCATGGCTCTGCGATTGAATCTATTGGGATCACCATCACATATGTGGAATATTTCAGTGTCGGTGGAAGTTTTCAGTGGATAAGAGCCTTTACTGTGGTTAAAACAAGAAAGAATGGGTAAGGCAGGGTAAGCACTGCCTCAGTTAAATAAAGCACGTGTTATCTCTGGGTACATGATAACACCAAAATGGGGCTATTTTGACTTTGGAAAGAAAAAACAGGCTGTGAAGAGTCTTTCAAAAAAGATTTTGGAATGAGTCAGCATTTGGAATCTAAACTCATCCCTTGATTTAATGAGTTTCAGGGGAAAATTCTGGTCCCAATACTATATCTGGAATGATTTCCTGCTGATGTGTACACAGTAGTGGCTGGGTCCTTAAGAGAGGAACTTAAGGAGACAGAAACTGTGAACAGAAGTTAACAGGGAGGTTTAAGCTTTGATAACATGACCCACAGACAGCACCCTCTGGAATCCATGGCCAGTACTACAACAAGAGTAACATTGCAAATTTCTCTGGTGGGAACATGGGTCTTTATCTCTGCTAATCCCTCACAATCCCTGGCTCTTGCTGATCCAGCTCCATTCCCACCTCACCTGACCTGCACTTACTCTGTTTTCTGCCTTAACTTTTTCTCTGTGCTTTTCATCATTACATCATATTTTCAATTGACATTACTTTGAGTTGCCTTCACACACCTGGGCCTCCCAGAGCCTCAAAAGCCCTGGCTGAATTTTGGCTAATGAGTCAGGTTACATCTTAATTTGGTTCATTCTCCTTATTAAAAAAAAAATAGAAACCTGTACCTATTTCTCAAATTATTTCCAGACTAAATTGCTCTCCTTTGAACATAGTCTTTGATTCACTATTTGAGTATGGTAAGAAGTCCAACCAAAACAAATCCCCTGGCCCAGTCATTAAAAGGCTGCTAAAGTGAAAATTCCCAAAGTGCAAAGCAAAAATAAGCACCCCACCCTCATACCAGCCTCCCTACAAATGCACCCCTTTTGGGGACTGGAGAGAGGGCACAGTAGGTAAGAAATTCAGTTTTCATGCAGCTGACCTCTGTTTGATCCTTGGCATTACATATGGTCCCCTGACCCCTTTAGGAGTGACCCCTGAGCTGAGATCCAGGAGTACTCACTGAGTACTACCAGATATGACCCAATCACCCTCCTCTTTAAAAATCTATCCTTTCTCTTCTACAGTTAACCACATAGTGACACCTGCGATGACCTCTGTCATCACTCAAGTTTGGGTCAATGGCTCACCATACCCAGCAAACCTAGTTAGAAGCAGAGTAAATTCAGCTCTGATTTAGAATCTCCTTTTCGTTACTGAAAATAATTCTCTCAATTCTATTCATAACATTTAGCTCCACTGCCCATCTTAGCTTTATAGCTTCCATCCAACTCTGTTATTTGGCTATTTTTCTTTTAATAAATACCCACTTGGGCCAGGGACTGCCCTGTCCCCCTAGCCTATAGACAGTGTATCCTCCCAGACAATGGGGTGTGCAGGAGTCGTGGGCTCTGTCACCAAGGAGAATGTGTATTTGAAAGAGACGTCTCAACTTATGGAAATGAAATACTTCAGGTGAAAGAGTGTGGGAAAAGAAAGGTAAGCATGTTCAATTTTTCTAATCCGAAGTCAGATGCCTTAGGCCACGCAGTCTACTAAACTTTTCTAGGTTTTCTCCTTGACCCAGTTGGTTGGATCACACACTGCTTAGCTAGCAATAAAACTGGGAAGAATTCCAGTTCCAATCACTGGCCTGACCTAGGTCCCCTCAACTTATTTGTTTATATATTTATTTAATTGGGGGCCACACCTGGCAATACTCAGGATTTATTCCTGGTGGTTCTTGGGAGACCATATGGGGTACCAAGGATTGAACCAGGATCAGCTATGTGCAAGTCAAGTACCTTGCCTCCTATATATACTATAGCTCCCGCCCCTCTTAGATAGTTATGCAAAATTTCATATTTCAAAACCCATCATATAGGTCTGGAGTTCAGAGGGCAGGACATTTGCCTTGCACACAACTGAGCACCTCCAGGAGGGACCCCTGAACACTGAACCAGGAGAAAGCCCTGAGCACCACCAGGTGTGGCCCCCAAACCAAACCAAACCAATAAACAAAGAAACAAAAACACCTAAATCATTATACTTGTGAATAATAAATTTCAGAGATCGTTGCCCTTCTCTCCCATCAGAACTTAAATTCCATAAGAGTAGTGAATCAACGATGCTGTCCCCCATAAATTGTTGGATAAGTTGCACAAATGAATAAATAAGGAAAAGCAGACACCATTGTAATATTTAGCATCTTACCTTGTGCTTCATAGACAGGATCTGATCATAAGCGCCACATAAAAGAGCACATGTATGAATTAAAGAGATGAATTTAGCATGGAGCAGAGCTCTGGGCAGCGATGTGGTGCCGACTTACTGAAGCTGAATGGAAACGTGAAGCACGCAATTTGCTTCCCTCATGCATGAGAACCATGAAACTCATTGAAAAAGACAATGGCCTATGATCTGGAAGTCATCTAACCAGGTAGGTAATAATATCTTCTCCCAGCAATTACACCGCTACTGGTCTGAAAATATCATTAAGCTGAAGGACAATTATGGTTGTTTGCTCACATAGATTTTGTTTTTTTAAAAGGCCTGATTTTATTCTCTTTCAGACTCATTATGGAATAACTACCGGCACAGACCATGTGGTCCAGATCAGCAGCCTGCAGGAGGACAGTCCCGAGGGAGCAGATCAAGGAACCAGGACGCAATGGCCTGCCCGCCCTCTACCCACCCACCTGCCACCCTGTTCTGGTGACCTGCAGCGAATCCCCGGGAGCCCACACCTGTTTTTAGCCTCCGTGAACGGGGCACACAGCTCTGGGTCTGGATCCAAAACGTGCTCCACGTCCTTGGGGGCTTTCTCATACATCTTTTTTCTCTCTGTCTGTGCTTTGTTGGCCTCCACCGGGGGGAAGTCGTAATAGCCCTTCCTCTTGGCTTTCAGGCGCAGCTTGTTCCGATAGTGCTCGATGTCTGACTTCTGTTTCAGGGCTTTGTTCACCTGGGGGGAGAGAGAACCAGTCTCAGGCCCACACACTGATGCACTGGGAGGCTTTCCTCAGACAACCAGGATTCCTTGGAAGAGCTGTCCTGCCCTTCCCCTCTGTTCTGCAGAGCCAGCCAGAGCTTCCTTGGATCCTATTTCCAAACCCACATCAACTACGTGGTATGGGCCTTGACCCTCACTTCCCTACCCCCCACCCCCAAACTCTCTCTGTTTTCCTGGATGGAAGCCTCCGACTTTTGGTGTCCCTACTCAAGTCCCAGTCCTGAGGACCCCGAAGGCCTCTCCTAGCTGTTTAGCTGGTCCCTGGCTGGATAAAACAGCAGTGCTCAGAGAGGATGCGATAAAGGGGAGCAGAAGAAGGAGCAGACACCCTGCTCCCAAGGGCTCTGCACGCTATCACTTACCTTTAGGAGCTGACGCTTGTGCATCTCGATCTTTCTCTTTTTTAAAAAAAATGATTGTAATTTCTTCATTTACCTAAGTTCGAACCACATGGCAACCAATCATCACAAATTGACTTTTATTGATTTATTGTCTGGTAATTCTACTCGCCATGCCTCCAGATTTTGTTGTTGCAAGCAATATGAAGTAAATTTGTTGTGTGCCTGCCAAGGGGGCAGGCTGAGAGGTGGGAGGGAACCTGAGGACACTGGTGGAGGGAAGGTCACACTGGTCGAAGGACTGATGTTGGAACACTGTAGTCTGAAACAACTCTATTATGAACAGCCCTGCAAACCACGGTGTCTTAATAAAAATAAATTTCAAGAAAAAAAGAAAAGCTTGGGCAGGAGAGATAGTGCAGTGGGTAATGCACTGATCTTGCATGCAGCTGGCCCAGGTTCAATCCCTGGCACCACTATGGTCCCCTGAACCCTGTCAGGAGTGACCCCTGAGTACAAAGCCAGGGAAAAGCCCTGAGTGTTGAAAGATTCTGACCAATCAGAGCCATGAATCTGGCCTCTTGGACACACTGTTCATAATGCTTTAGACCAGGCATTCTAAATGTTTCTTTCTTCTAAAAAAATTATGGAATCATCCTAAATCACAAAGTTACAAAATTATTCATGCTTAAGTACAATGTTTGAGCTCCAATCACTTCATCAGTGTCAGTTTCCTCCTACCAATGTCCCCAGTTTCCCTCCCTCTCCCCAGGATGCCTCTATGGCAGGGACTTTCCCCCCTTTTCCTTTTAGACACTGTGGTTTGCAGCATTGTTACTGAAAGGGTATCATGCATATCACTTTACCTCCTTTCAGCACCCAGGCCTTGTCCAAAGTGACCAAGTCCCCTATCACTGTCATAGTGGTCCCCTCCCTGTCCTAATCCCCTTATCCCCCTTTGTAAATTTCCTACTAAGGACCAGTTCTCCCACTTTCATTTCTATTTTTCTTGGGCATTATTCTCCTACTATGTTTCTTTATATCCCACAAATGAGTGCAATCATTCTGTGTCTGTCCCTGTCCCTCTGACTCATTTCATTCAGTATGATACTCTCCAGATCCATCTAGGTATCAGCAAATTTCATGACTTCATCTTTCTAATGGCTGTGTAGTATTCCATTTTGTCTATGTACCATAGCTTTCATAACCTTTTTCTTACCGTGACCCCGTCTGACCTTGTTTCTTTTCTGTAGTCCCCCTCCTACCTTTGGGCCCCTAGTTTATTCCATGGTCCCCCACTAATATGATTTTGCTATTACCTCCTTGGAATAACCTGGGGTCTACTGGGGGCCATATAGCCTTCAGTTAAGACACTTTGCTTTAAATTAAAGCTCTTTTTCTTCTTAAAGTTTCTCTGTTTGAATGATTAACTTGAAATCTGTTAGAAGGTCAAGACTTCAAGGAAATCAAGGCAAGGCCCATGTGATAAGAGCACTCATCTGTTCCCCTTTCTCCAGGTGTCACAGGTGAGTATAGGTTTAGGATTCCCATCCAAGATAAATTCATTTCCAAGAAACATTGGGGCAGTATCTCCTTTTTAAGCCAATTAAAGCAGTCTCATTCAGCCCCCACTCTTTCGATGGGGGTGAAGGGAGGGTCTGGGAAACACCCGGAGGTGCTCAGAACTTACTCCTGGTCCTATGCTCAGGGATCATTCCTGGCAGGGTTCAAACGACCATATGTGACGACAGAGATCAAACTAGGGCCAGCCATGTGCAAGCATCTTAAGCCCTGTACTGTCTCTCAGGCCTCACTGTCCCCAATTGTTTTTTAGGTTGTTTTGTTTTTAGGACACAGTCAGAAGTGCTCAGGGCTCACTTGAGCACTGTTGGCGGAACAAGGGCACAACTGAGTACTCAGGGGAAAATTGCTGGCTCTGTGCTCAAGAGTAACTCCTGGTTATGCTCAGAGGACCATATGTGTTGCTGGGGATCAAACTCCTAGCTCTGCATTCAGGAATCACTCCTGGTGGATTTAGGAGACCATTGTGATGCCAGGGATCAAACCCGGTTGGCTACATGCAAGGCAAGCACCCTACCCACTATATTATTTCTCTGTCTCCCTTCTCCAACTCCTACTGAAATGTGCAACAGAGTTGACTTGGGCAAACACTTCTGCACTTCTGGGGAGGATTAGTCTGTTGCTTTTAGTCATTCACCTCTTAATGATGAAACAACATAAAACATTGGCAAAGGGTGTAGGTTCTGGACCCAGACCAATTGTCTGGTGCAATTTATTTATTTATTAGTTCTGAGACTTGGAACTCTGGAATCTTACACATTCTGGACATGTCCTCTACCTCTGTGCCACATTCTGATCCTCCAGACCAACTGCCTGGGATTTAAGCCCTGCCTTGGCTTTTTTGAGCTGAGTGACTTTAGATACATTACTTAAATTTTCTGTGCCTCAGTTCCTCTCAGTCTGAGGGAGTTGAAAAGAAAAATGAATACATTACACTGTGTAATGACATTTCAGTCAACAACAAACCACATACAAAAATGTTGGTGGTCACCATATACAGGTGTCGTGTGTATAATTGCACTGCATGATCTTTGCCCAGTGGTGAATTTGTCTCTGGATGCATTTCTCAGAACATCTCTCCATTACTAAGGCAGTCCTGGCTGTTGTTAGGATTGCATGAGATTACATGCACTTCTGGTGTGCTTACAACACAGCTGGATATAAACTGACAGTAAAGCATTAGTGTTTAACGTGGGCTGTGTAGGGTTAATTTATATTTAAACCTAAGGGAGAGAGAAGTTGACTCAGAGGAGAGGCAAGAAAATGAACAGCTCAAGAGCTCAATGCATTGAGATGGAAGCACTTGGGTAGGGCTTGAACTGAGCAGCACGAGAGCCCTATGGGGGTGGGGGGAGGAGAAGGCATCGGTGGGAGGGGTGTGGGGAACAGGTTGGCACTGCAGAATTTTGTCTTGGAATATCCCTGCACCTTCTTCATGCCCGTGATAATTACTCTGCATTTCCTTGAGTTTTGTTTTAATTTTGGGAAATGGTGAAGCAGGGGCACAACCGAGTACTCTGGGAGAAATTGCTGGCTCTGTGCTCAAGAGTAACTCCTAGTTATGCTCAGAGGACTATATGTGGTGCTGGGGATCAAACCTGGGTCAACTGCAACAAGAAAGCATCGTAAGCCCTTTACAAGTTCTCCAGCCCTCATTTTGTTTTGAGAGGAAGGAAAAGCAGAAAGACACACCAGCTTTGAGAAGCAGGTTATCTGAAATGCACACCAAAGCCTGGGTTTACTGAAGATGGGGTTCAAGATTAGTTGTGTCTGATTGATAAAGATAGTTATGTATGATGGAAGTCAGGTCAAAGATCTATGCAGTGAGCAGGCATTGTGAGTCTGAAAAACTATACCGCCTCCTTTCAAATACTCAAATTCCCAGAGTTCTGGTCCATCAGGCAAGTAGCAAAGCTGTTCATTAGGTAATGTATTCTGGCAATGAATCCATGCAGTGGTGAGATATAAACCAGCTCTAACTTGTTCAGTGGCACCAGATTGCTTCTTAGCTTTATTTTTACTGCATTTGAAGAAACAGAAACTGGAGGACATGTTTTTTCTAACGTTTGCCAAGATCTCCCCAACCTGGGCACTAATAACATTTTTAGGCTGGCAGCATTTCACAAATCTTACTTGTTCTCTCTGGAAAAAAAGCAGTACAGAGAAGTTAGCATGATATCCTCTAAGCCAGGAGTTCATGTCTGCAATTTCCCCAAAGCAACATTCCAAGAGATTCCAAGTTGAGAGCTGTTAGCATCACCAGTAATCAGACACATCAGTATCAAATACTTCCTAAATGCCAATGCTCATGAATGGGCATTGCACTCCGGTGGTTATGCCCAAACTGTATAACCTCAATTCCATCCTGAGAAAACATCAGACAAGCCCAAACTGAGGGACTTTCAGCATGATTAATGACTAACGTTCTTCCAGGGTAATGGTCATAAAGACAAAGCATAGTTGCAAAGAGTGATTAAGGGCCTGTTCCAGATAGAAACTGAAGGAGAGAATTTAATACCAACCAGGATTCTGGAATACACATAATAAAACATTAGCAGGAGAGTCAGTAAAATGCAATTGTCATCTATAGATTAAATAGATTACAGTTAATATCTATACAGATTATAGTTAATAGTATTATATCCATAATAATTTCCTGGGTTTTACACTTACTCTACAGTGTGGTAAAATACTCACATTAGAGGTGTCTAGGGAACAAGTATATAGGAAAACTGTAGTATAACTGCAACTCTTTTGAAAGTCCAAAGATATTTAAAACTAACAGGTTTAAAAATCATATGTGATGAGCTGGTATATAGAATACGTCATGGGTAGCTTATCAGGCTTCAATGTTACTGAGCCTGCTTGAGCAAATCGATGAACAACAGGAGGACAGTGACAGTGACAGTGACAGTGATAGGCTGGAATGACAGTACAGTGGATAGGGCACTTGCCACACCTGCAGAAGACTTGGGTCTAATCCCTGCATTCCTTATGGTTCCTCAAGCACTACCAGGAGTAATTCTTAAGTTCAGAGTCAGGAATTGACCCTGAGCACTTCTGAGGGTGGCCCCAATGCCACCCCCCTTTTAAAAAAATGATCATGTAAAATTGTTGATTGTATTATTTATAATAATCAAAAACAGGGGTTGGGAAGATAGTATAGAAAGGCGCTTGCCTTGCACACAGCTGACCCTGGTTAGAAACCCTGGCACACCTATAGTCTCATGAGCATGACCAGGATGACACCCTGAGCACTGTGGAGGGTGACCCACCAGAAACATACACAAAATCAAGTTCTAAACTAAAACAAACCAACAAAAATACCTGGAAAGTGTAAACAAAGGAAGATTATTTTTCTAATTCACAGTACACTTATATAATCTAGTGATAGGTGTACCAGAAAAATACAATGAATGTTTAAGATATAAGACGCACAGTGGTCTATGTAGGGTAAGAATCTGAAGTACACATGAGTTCAACCAAATTCTTGAAGAGAAGGTGAAAACATGAAAACAGATGCTATCTTAGGATAGTGAAATTATAGTGATTTTTCTCTCATTTTCTGAACTTTCTGTGTTGTTATGTTTTCTTTAAAACAACCTTCTTTAAAAGGATGTCCTATAATTCATAAAGGAAGATTTATGGCTTTGGATTTATGCTGTTTTTTTCTCACTGTAATAAGCTACCCTTAAGAGAAAAAGGAAGAAAATTATAAGACAATCTGCTTCAAATGCCACAAGAAAGCAAATTACAGAGAACAGTTCAGGGCTCTTTTCCAATCCAAATGCCAACCAGGGCCATTCCATGAACTACCAAAAATGGAACAAGGATTCATTTCTGGACAGGAAAAATGGCTCTTTGTTCTCTTTCTGTGACAATTTAATATCACTTCTTAAAGTTTTTTGTGCCTTTACAAGTATATTTTCTATGGTTATTATTATTTGCTTATTACTTATTCAGGTTTACAACTTGTTTTCTTTCTTGAGACTTCCTGATCTCTGTGTCGATTACAATTGGCTTTCGAGGTCACCCTCCCCAATTAGTCTAGAGATTTTTTTCCAGAATCTCCTGACACAAGTTTTCCCCCAACAATTTATAGTTCTTTTTACATAAAATGAACTACAAGTTCAAAAGAATGAAACTATAAACATTTGATATGGTTTTTCAAGAAGGGAAATGAGTTGCTGCCAGAGAGTCCAGCTTGCGGCCCACCTGCCTTCACCTTATTTATTCTATTTTGCTTTTGGGGTGGGCCGGAGCAATAGCATAGAGGGTAGGGCATTTGCCTTGCATGTGGCCGACCCGGGTTTGATTCCTCCGCCCCACTTGGAGAGCCTGGCAAGCTACCGAGAGTATTCCGCCTGCATGGCAAAGCCTGGAAAGCTCCCCGTGATGTATTCGATATGCCAAAAACAGTAACAACAAGTCTCACAATTTGTTTTGAGACGTTACTGGTGCCTGCTCAAGCAAATTGATGACAACAGGAGGACAGTGCTACAGAGCTACAGTGCCTTTGGGGTCACAGCCAGCAATTCTCACGGGTTACTTCTGGTTCTGCACTCAGGAATTACTCCTGGTGGTGCTCAGGGGCCCTTATGGGATGCCAGAGATTGAACCCGGGTTGGCAGTGTGCAAGGCAAATGCCCTACCTGCTGTACTACCGTTCTAGCCTCTGTCTTCACTTTAGAATGGGGATAAAGGAAGGCTTCCCAGAGTGCCTGCCTCTTAGTGGAAGAGCTATTGAGGAGCAACTGTGATATGTATGTGACAGTCTATGTGACAAGGTGATGTGCCTGGCAGACAAAGGGAGTCACAAGCTGGAACTAGCAGATTTTTGAAATCTGTCCCTATTAGATTCACATCACTAGGTTGGAATGAAAAGATCCTGACATGGCAGCTAGACCAGGCAGGGGGCCCTAATCAAGAGAGGTGACTGGGACCCCAAAGGTCTCTAATTCATAGGCTTGTGTGTCCTGTGACAGAGCTGTGCCCAAGGGAATACTCAGAGGCTGTGATTGGCATATATGTTACCAAATGATAGAGCTAAGGGGCACAAAATACAAGATTAAAGATTCCTTGTTCAAAAAACAATAATATAGAAGGCTCAGCTAGCAACAATTAGCTCAGTAAATTCTCAGACCATGACTTTAATGACCCCATGGGGAGATATAACAATTTTCACAAGATTTCTTTTACTGAAGCATTTTTCAATAATACCATTAGCCATTGGGCTACACTAGCATGCGACAGAGACGAATGGAGATGTTACTGGTGCCCACTCGAGCAAATCAATGGGTAACGAGATGTCAAGTGATCAAGTGACCATTAGCCATTTGAAACAAGCAATATAAAATATTTTGTACCTGGTAAGGGGGTAGGCTTGGGTAGGGGACTGGGGACAATGATGGAAGAAATGTCCTACTGGTAGTGGGATTTGTGCTGGTACACTGAATGCTCTAAACAACTGTATTATGAACAATTTTGTAAACCATGGTATTTAATTAGAGTAAAAAAAGACTCCTTGTTCATTGGTTGGTTGATAATAAAACACTGTTTAAAGTGTTTTATCTCATGTGGGTCTCAAAATAGCCCAACTTTGCCATGGAGATACAGGAGCATAGAGAAATGAACCTGAGATCATGGGGAAACTAGAAGTTCTGGGAATCAAGTCCTTATAGTGTGGCAGAGAGCCCAGACTTTTAATTGCAAAGCTATTTTTCTTTTGATAAGTTAAGGAGAGGGAAGAAACCTTGGACAGAAAGCAAGGGGACCTAAACCTGACTGTGACAATTGTTTGCTGTATGCTTTGAGCAGGCCCTTTGAGATCTCTCAGGCTACCGTTTCTTTGTTTAAAAAATGAAAAGTTTGGGACAGAAAGTGATCTAAAAGACCACAAACTTTTAAAAATTGATGAACTTCAGTAACTGGAGAGATAGTACAGCATGGAAGGTGCTTGCCTTGCACAAAGCTGACCGGGGTTCAATCATCGGCATCCCATTTGGTCCTCTGAGCACTTCTAGGAGTAATTCCTGAGCAAGAAGTAACCCCTGATCATTTCTGAATGTGGTACCAAAACCAAAAAAAAATTTTTAAATAAAAATTTACGAGCTTCAATCCCTCACATCTTTAGACCACTCAGTGTTAATATCCAGAAAACTTAAGGATCTCCCAGTCAGGTCTGTGACAGACTTTTACCTTATGGCCTGGATGGGAGAATGACAAGTGAGTTTACATGCCCAGGTTTATGGACCTGTGACACGTTGATCTGTGGTAGGGAAATAAAACTTAGAGTATGAACAAATAAACAATATAGACACAGATTAACAGCAGGTTAATCATAGGTAAGTGTGTGTGCAGAAATTTGTAAAGTAAGTGTTCACTTGCAGGGGCCATATGCATGACCTTAAAGGTTTATAAATATAAATATGTTCAGCTCTCTGACCATTCTGTTGAGGAAGATGGAGGAATAGCCAATTATTTTTACCTGACTGTTTGCTTAATGTCCCCTACCGATCTACCTCTGCCGATCTACCATCCACCTCTACCATCAACATTAATAACCATTAATCCATCCAACCACCACTCACGAATCACGAATCACTACCATCCTGTTATTTGTCGATTGCCTTGAGCAGGTCCCAGTAACGTCTCCTTCATCCTAGCCCTGAGATTTTTTAAGAAAGTGCTATATTCAAGGCTCTTTAGGAGAATGAGACCCATCATTGTTACTGGTATTTGGCATATTGGGTATGCCACGGGGAGTTTGCCAGACTCTGCCATGTGGGCAGGCTACATTTGGTAGCCTGCCAGTTTGTCCCAAGTAGGAATGAGATAATAAAATGTCATAATAAGATATCTGGGAGCTGGTTTTTATAGTCTCTGAGTCTTGGCTGTTGATGGGATTACAAGGCGCCAGGGGGCCAGTTGGTGGGTGTGACCCCCGCCTACTGGAATTCGGAGGATCTGGGTGGAGGATGCTCAGCCCCGATCCGAGTAGGCTTGGAGATCTCAGCCCCAGGACCCGCTTGCCTTTGTTCCTCTGCTGGTGCCTTCAGGTGTGCGGAGAGTGGTCTCAGCATGGAACCACCACTCACCCATCAGTTTTCTACTGTGAAATCATCATTTTCCAGGATATGTTACAAGTCCTTTCCAAACTCTTAGCATTATAATATTGTTGATATCCTCCTAGAACCAGGCAGAAGGATGTTTCAAGCTTTCTCTTAGGAGTAAAAGTCATGTCAAAGCCTATACATGTCTTGCATCCCTCTTCATGACAATATCTTCCCCAGATTTCTTTCTGTTAAGGCTCTTCCATCCCCACTTCAACTGACATCCCACAATGAATAATTTAGAAATGTTATCAAGGAAAGTAAAAGATTTGTGTGTGTGTCTATAAAAGAGAGGAAGGAAAAGGAGGAAGATGAAGAGGAAAGGAGAAAGAAGGAAGAAGAAAGAGGAAGAAGGAGGAGGAGGAAGAGCAGGAGGAGGAAAGAGAATCATTATTTTTGTATTCTCTTCCTATCTACAGTTTTGAAAATGTCCCCAGATGAGTTTACTAATAAAGATATAAAATGCCCTGAAAACATCACCCAAACACCTGTTTTCAGATAAGAATGACTTGCTATATATATGGGTCACACCCAGCGATGCTCAGGGGTTACTTCTGACTCTGCACTCAGGAATTGCTCTTGGCGGTGCTTGGGGGGAACCATACGGGATTCCAGGGATTGAACCCAGGTCAGCCGTGTGCAAAGTAATTGTCCTACCTGCTGTACTATTGCTACGGCCCCTGACCTGCTATATTATATTCTGCTGACACCTGTGCATGCCCACGTAAAAATGACCCCAGAATCCCAAACACCTGAAGGCGACTGGCACTCAGTATTCCCAGGCGTGGCTGCGGAGTCCAGTTCTCTGAGGCTTGGTCTGCGATGGGAGGGGGGGCTCTCTCCCAGGGCCCTCAGGGGGCTCACCTCACCATTGAGGACTGCAGGTTCCTGGCTCCTGTCTGAAGTGGGGTGCACCACCGGGAGGGCTGTGGGTTTTACAGCGATGAGCTGCACTGATCCAGAAGTTGCGTCGAAGGGCTCAGCGGTGGCTTTGCCGTTGTCAAAACGAACTACTCCTTCCTCGTCATCACTGGCTGGCACTGAAGCATATAAACACATTGATTTTATGATGAGAGAACCCCATCCAGGGAGGAAATTATGTAAGACACACAGTCTAAGGATGTTACTTTATTCTAAAGGACCTTGGGGAACAAGAGCTGTGCCTGGGGCTCACCACTCTTCCAGGATTCCTCTAAACGTAAGGGTGATGTGATCCTTCTAATGCCTTTTTTTTAATTTTAATTTTTTTAATTGAGTCACTGCGTTACAAAGTTACAAAGCTGTTCATGATCAGTTTCAGTCATCCAATGGTCCAACACCCATCCCTCCACCAGTGCACATTTCTGACCACCAATGACCCCAGTTTCCCTCCTACCACCACCTCTCCCCCAGCCTGCCTCTATGGCTCTGTGTCAGGCACTTTCTTTCTCTCCCTCCCTTCTTCCCCCGCCACCCCCCACCCCTCCTTCCACTGCCTTCCTATGGGAAAGGATGAAACTAAAAGGAGGGAGACTGTAAACAGTAAAAGGTAGACTGTAAACGGTAAAAACCATTCTTTTTCTTTCTTCCTTTTTTTTTTTTGTGTGTGTGTCACACCCAGCGATACACAGGGGTTACTCCTGACTCTGCACTCAGGAATTATCACTGGTGGTGCTCAGGGGACCCTATGGGATGCTGGGAATCGAACCCAGGTTGGCTTCGTGCAAGGCAAATGCCCTACCTATTGTGCTATTGCTCCAGCCCCTAAAAACCATTTTTTCAAAACTGACAAAAATGCACTGGGTAGGCGTGGGGGCTAAAGTCTCCACCCACCCCCTTTGGAATCAGAACATGGGAAAAATAGTTTGGCCAAATCTATCATCTATCAGCAAATCTTAAAATAGGACAATCAACAGAAAAACTGTGAATCAAGCAGGCAGATAAAGAGGGAAGGGCGCCCTATGGCTATGAGTTCTTGGGAAGTAAGAAAACCAACTGTCCTAAGCTATCAGGACCCACCTTGAGGACAGAGGAACTGAGGCCTGATAAAACCTTTACCTGGCACCAGCACAGGCCCAGGGAAGGCTGAACTTCAGCAGGAACAAAGGTCAGAAAACAATAGCAAAGAACAACACCAACTGCTCCCAGCTCTAGCCCTCAGCAACCCACGATGGCAATGGACTCTTACCCAGGTAGAAAACCCCATGTGGGGCAGCTTGGGAGAAACTTTACAAAAGGCAACTTGAATAAAGGAAGTGTTCACATATGCTGCCTGAGCCCATGTGCTGCTTGTGCCCATGTGTTGATGCCGAGCATGCATGCAGTGCATGAGGACATGTGTCACCTGCATCTCCCCTCTTGAAATGTGTACTTTCATACCTTCATACTTTAATGCTGTGGTGTGTACTGGGGCTTTCTCTGCCTTTGGAGAAGCCCGTGTTCTCTCTTGAATGCATTATTCTCTCTTTCTCTCTCTCTCTCTCTCTCTCTCTCTCTCTCTCTCTCTCTCTCTCTCTCTTTCTTTCTCTCCCTCCCACACCCAAACCCCCACTTCATCAATAAAACCTGCCTGTTTTTTTTGTTTGTTTGTTTGTTTTACTTCACACCTCATCTTCTCCTGAAATTCTTTTTTGAGAGAAAGGCAAGAACCCAAAGCAAATTGTACGACTGACTTGGCTTTCTTGAAAGGAACAAGGCTCACAATCCTAGATTTCCCTAGCAGTTCCTGGTGTCAGAGGTGGATCCTCACTTCATATATGTCACTTGGGAACCCACCAGGATCAACTACATTCTGGTCTCTATCATCGAAGTCACCAAGTTTTGCACCACATGCTGTCTCCCCAGGTCAGCTCGTCCCAGTAATTGCCACTGACACTTTAAGTGTTTTCCATTTCCAAGGCTGCTTCTCCAATGAAGGGGGTTTGGGTTTCTTTCATTTGTTTAAAACAAGAAAAGGGCTGCAAAATAACCACCAGAGAAACTAATTGAAAGTTGCAGACAATTCCTCTAATTAAATAGAGTGATTGCCACCTATGCTCGGTTAAATTAATTCTCCCTTCTGACAGATAATTCTGCTGTGATTGCCGGAAGACACCAGCTTGCCCTGTGCTTTCATAACTAAGCTGACAGAAGTTTCAGGGCTGGTGGAAGCTAACTGATTTACAGGTTCTTAAAGACTATTCCCAGTAAGAAACCCTGAGAATGACAATATATTGAGTATGGCTCTGCAAGAGATAAATTAAGCCTGTTCAAACAGCTATGCTGGTAGGCAATTTAGGAGGAAAATAGGTTTTCTATAAAACATGAATGTAATAGAAGTGTATTCATCTTTCCTCCTATCTGCTCAAGAGATTGGAATGTTATTTAAATTATTGAGAAGCACCAGTTTGTCGCATTCTGTTACTTACCATAATCACAGAAGATTTGTCAAATTAAACTGAGTAAATTGTTATTTTACCATGTGGCTCAAACATCTCAGAGTCTAACAATGAGTTCTAATTGGAGTATTTCGGGGTTCTTTGGACTAAATTGCAAATAGCAAGCCACCAAGCAGCTGATGACAGAGGAGAATCTCTAATTAGATGGATTACAAGATCCTATATCTTTTTTATTTATTAACTAATTTATTTGTTATCTTTTTATAATGGAGTTTTGTTGACCAACTTGGGTCTTCTCAGTACTTAATTCCAACTGGACAACTGGTATGAAGGCATTTAAAGGAACCAGCTCCCAAGATGGCACCCAGTAATTCTCACCTCCTGACAGTCACTGCCACAATGAATAGAACTGATGAAGAGGAATGTGCAGATGGTGTGTTATTTCCAACACAAGATCATTACTCTAGGGAAAGTCAATTGATATGTTCTGAGGATGCTTGGGCAGCTGTAGGAAGAAATCCTTACAGTAAGAAAAGACTCCTGCCAATAGCTTGGTGATGCGATGTCTTGTATTTAGTTGTGTAGGCCTGATCAGGTCACTTAATGATTACTGCTAAGTGAACAACTTGACTACAATCTTTTGATTTACTCTGAGCAGAACTACCTTGCTAAACCAAGCATGAATTCCTGACAGGTATTTTAGATTGTGAAGTGTCCAAGTAATGTGTTACCCAGCGGTAAGTAACTCATCTCTTCAACAACCATTCACTCTTCCAAGCTTTTATTTTTGTCATCTTACCCCTAAAACATCTCTTTGGCCAGCAACCAGGATGGAGTACCTTTTCCTAAGGTAGCTAGATCAGGGTACTCCTTTCATAAGAGACCCTGGAGGCTTCAGCTCCCTCAGAATAAAACCCAGAGTCTTTGCCCTACAAGGGCTTGTCAGATGTGGCCTGGCCACTACATTTTTACACACTGGTCCCACATGGTCACTTGGAACACACTTTGTTTATTCCCACTTAGGAAATTCATATTATCTGTTCTCTCCACTAGGGATGCTATTTTATTTTTTGTAGTTTGGAGCATGCCCAGTACTGCAAGGGAGCTATCCCCTGGGTGCTCAGGGGATCATGTGGAGCAGGGGATACCTATAAGACATGCACTCAACCCTTTTGAGCTATCTCACTGGCCCCTTTGGGAATTCATGTCACAGAACTTTAAATGCCCAGTTATTATTTTATTGTTCAAATTGAAGTTTGAAAAAGATTCTATAACTCCTAATCTAAGACAACCTCCCTGATTTCCTTATTATAGGTTTCTCAGAGCACTTATCACTATTCATTAGTTCACTGTTGACTGTTGACATAGTGTCAACAGAGAGTTGACCCTTCAGAGTTGAAAGTCTGAATGAAACTTCTGATTTTCCCCAAACTTAACTGCCTGCTGTGACAGGCAACCTTGCAGATAATGCACTTAATTAACACATATTTTGCACTCTAGATATCGTCTATCCTATATTCTTGCAATAAAAGAAGCTGGAGAAAGAAAAATATTTGAGAAAATTATAAGAAAGAGAAAGCTTCTGTACAATATTGTGTTGCATTTGTCAACACTGTGAGCGTACATCACCTGTTTTCAAGTAAATCCTGATCATGCAGATCATACTCCAGTTGCTCAGGGTCAACTTTGCTCTTTTAATCTGCCCCACTATTGACACTAGAATATAAGGTAAAAAGGTAAAGGCCCTCCCGTTGATCGTCGATTTGCTCGAGCGGGCCCAGTAACGTCTCCATTGGAGACTTTGTTGTTACTGTGTCTGGCATATCGAATACTCTCTCTCGGTAGCTTGCCGGGCTCTCCGAGAGGGGCGGAGGAATCGAACTCGGGTCGGCCATGTTGGCCGCTTGTAAGGCGAACGCCCTACCCGCTGTGCTATCGCTCCAGAATATAAACTCCATCATTTTTGCTCATCATTGTAAAGACTGATGTAAATTACCTTTAACACATTTTACATGTCATTTATTGACTTTCTATATGGATTTGTCAAATGAATGAATGAATGAATGAGGGAATGACTAAAATTTCTTGATTTAGAAAAGGAAATGCTAAAATTGTATATCTACAACTGTACCTCATGGTGTTTCACTAAAAAAAAAAAAAAAGAAAAGGAAATGCTGTTAGTACCTTTAGAACAGGCAAACATGAAGAAGTTAAGGCGCTATCAGCAAACCATTCTGAGGGAGAAGAGATGGTATTTAATGTTTTTATTACTTCTGAGCTTGACTTGGACAGGTGAGCAGGGAGAAGTATAACCATAATAAGACAGGAAGGGACATCCTAAAAATTCTACAAAATACTGCTGTCTTTCATCTTCACCCTTGAAAGTCAAATTCAGATTTGCACAATAACTTTTCTAGGTTTCTTTATGAGAGAAATAGTTATCTTCCCCCTTAAAACCACTGTATGGAAAATGAAAAGGCATTACATTAAATATTAATAGCTTCAAATGTTGTATGAGTATAAAAGGTTTATGGGAATATTTAATGAACAATTAGTCCCTAAAGATAAAAGTTTGAAGAAATAAAGGGTCACAGTTAGACTGAGGTAATATCCTAGATACCATCTCATTATCACAGTAAAAGCCACCAAAAACCTGCCCAGATCTCATTATGTCATATTTGCAA